TAACTTTGTACTACAGGTCATATACATGCATGAGAGCTGACGTTTGATGTGCTTCTGTTTCCTAAAGTTTCATTCAGCTTTCATTGAAAAAGTTAGTGCTGCTTAGTGGGCTCCGTACAACGTATTGCCTACGATGCTCGAGGGAACAACATGGAGGGGTGAAACTAGCGTAGTTTGGGGCGGCTTGCCAAACGGTGAGGGTGCGCGAGAGTAGCATGGAAAGCTACGGAGCAGAAGCGGTAAACGTGATGGTCAGGTCCGCTGACGTTGATGGATTCAACCGATGGCGGAGGGGATTGGCCGCGGACTACTTGCAGGATGCGAACTCCAGAATGATATTATGAGCATCTGCGACCTGAGTTGGCTGACGATTCACAACATGCCCACCAGGACCGGGGTCAGCCTGATGGTTGATGGCCAGGAACGACCACCTGAGCAATCTGAGATAACGCCCGAGAACCTTCATGCACACGAATCACTTAGTTACCTGCCTGAAAATGTTTTATACGAATAATCTGACAGCTTGAGCTTGTGTGGATTTCATGAGTTTGAAGACATCGAGCAAGTGCCCCGAAATCGACGGGGGAGGCAGCTACAGCGATTTGCGTCGTGGTGGGTTCAGTAGGAATAAATGGACGAGGAATCAACCGGTGAACAGCGACGGACGCCCCGGTCACGGTGGCAACAGTAGGCGCGGCATTCGTATGCCATGTAGTGCTCATAGTTGGTGGAATCGGAGCAGCAGCGTATTAGCTACCGTGTCCGTATTCAGGTTCCTAAAACTAAATCCCTTCGCGGCTAGTGATAATTGATAATGCAATTCATATCGTTCTCGTAAAGTTCTCGTAGCTAATTCTTTACTTTCGGGTCGAGTCACTGGTTCAGTCGTAATAACGACCTTGCACTGCGCTAATTGTGGTTTTCGGGAGTCTTTCACTCGTTTTTACATCGATGGAAAGCAGGATTGTCGAAGGAAAGTGTACGAGCTTTTCGATTGTCTCTTCGGGGTTCTTAACTTCGAATTATTCGAAATGATCTGTTATCAATATGGGAAAGCGGCTGGCAGCGTTAATAAAAGACCTAGTAAAACCACAAATATTTCGGTAGTCTGTATCGAAGATAGGCCTGTGTTGTTTGTTGGGCGACTTGGACTACAGAAGCTGTCACATAATAGCTCCGGAATTTATAATAGTCTATAGATGCCGTTGCGTACATGTACACCGTCCGCGCAAACACATCAATACGTACGTGCATTCGTGCGCTTCAAAAGAAACGCACGACTCACCTTTACACAGAACTAAACAGAAAACTTGTAAGGATTATGTAAACATAATTGGATTCTAAATCTTCGGAGGCGAATAGTACTGGAAGTTATCGCCTGGATGTCGCCTGAAGACATAGGACAATGGAAAAATAAACAATGAAAAAGATATCTGCAGCTAAATATACTTGTGGAAATTAACCTGTTTTTTTTTATTGTTCGTGACAAAGTAAGGGCAATTTATTTTTCCCAATAAAAGACGAAGCGTTTCACTGAAGTCTATTAAGGAATCTATTTAGTATGCAATCGGCGTCAAGCCTACGATTTTCTCCCGTCTCTAAATCAAGTCTATTTGTTCCGTTTCTACAGAAAGCGTCGATTCCGGTAGTGAGAAGTTTGTTCAGCAGACTCTGTATGCAAAAGCAGCTCCTACGTAAGGTCTTCAAAGGTGGCATAAAAGACCTTCGCTATGTGCGGTCTCGTAGTATTTTGGACAAGGATAACCTTGTTATGTTTACCTGACTTCCTCGATTATATAATTTCGTTTTCTCAATAAAACTCGGCGATATAGAGATTTTCTTGTTTTTTTAAGTGCCTTCCAGTGTACAGTATGCTTTCAGTCCCACCAAACACAAATCATGTAATGGTACTAGTTCGTCGGGTGGAGTCTAACTTCAGGCCTAATAGCATTTCTAAAAACCATCCATCACTTGAGGTTAGCATAGAAATCCTATTTGTAACAATTAGCCGCTGAAGTTGTGTATTGTCCTTGGAGAGATAACGAAAAGCTGCGTTTTCTCGGACCGTTCATTCAGTTTATTGAGCACTTAAATTTAGAAGATGCCCTATGATAGTCGTTTGTTTGCAGCTCATCATTTGGGCCAGTTACCAAAGTTTTTGCCATCAGAGACATTCATATGGATGGCTAACCGGACCCGAAATATGCTGTTCTCAACCTTAACTTATCGACCCAGTAGACGTAGATAAGTGGCAGAAAATGCCTCAATTTAGAACCGTGCAAATCGCAGATCGTTTTATAATCGTAGCTTCGATATACTAATTAGTACTTTATTAATATACTCGATGACTATTTGATTGGATAGGTTTAACGATTGCAGAACCTTTTGCAAACCTTGCAGAACAAAGAGAGCTCGAGTCGCTGTCTGAAGTCTCGATACAATCTGTAGTCTTAGTAGAATTTGGTCACTTAGTATAAGCATATTGAAATACTCACACTTCTAAACGTGGCACGTACGGTGCCACGGTAGAAATACAATTAATCGAATGGGACGTATGGCATATCTGGCTGAATTGCCTATTGTTTAATCTCGGATCCCGTTGCCATCGTAGAGCTTACGCTGCGATCGTGTTAAGCGAATAAAAATAGTAGTGGCAATACTTATCGAAATAAAGAGACAACGTACTAATTTCAAGTTTTATCAAGTACTGCTCAGATTCAATAGTAAATGTTCTCGTTAAGCATTTCAATAGTGACAAAAGCTGAAAAAAGACGTTTTTAACCAAAAAATTAACTCACCGAAATTTAGAATTCCTTTTTCAAGAGTCAATATGGACCAAAGGATTTTAAAAAAAAAAAGTGCTCGAATGTCGAAATTCGCTTCAAAATAGGAATGGTCAAACCTAAGCCGACCATCGCAAACGTATGAAAGGAACTTGAACTTGAAACAAAAACAAAGCGTGCGAGTACATTTTTTTCTTGTACACATTGAATTGATTTAGAAACCTACATAATAAATATCGATCTTTCATTCAACAGAGAAAAATATAGAAATTACTCTGAAAACACGAATGCTTCAATGTTCATAGCAACTACGTGGTGTGATAGCCGACAAATCATGGATTTGCGTTGTCCCTTAAACTATAAATTATTGATGATAAATAAGAAAAAAAAAACGGAATAAATAACCACTTTGTATGTTTTATGCACGTTTATAATAGGCTTGCTTATCGATAAGCCACCACGAAATCTGAGCAAACAATTAACAGGAGTTCCGTAATATTACCCTATCTCGTTACGCATTGATATTTTATGCAGACCGCGTTACTTGTCTTAGTTATCAACAATCACGAAATAGCAAATCACGTTCATCAGGGTATTAGCGGAAATGAAATATCGTTACTTGAAATTATCGTTTCGGGAACCGGTAGCACACCAAAGGTTTTTTTTTTAATTAAAGATCTGCCTGCTATCCAGAGAGGTGTGCAGTCATTTTTTAAAAAATCATAACAGAAACATGTAACTTTAGTAAAAGTGCGCTCTTCTTTTTGCCCAGTTACCTAGAACAGCCAAACAGGCCCCGTTCTGTGATCGATCTATTTCTATTTTGTTATAATGTGGCGTTGAAACGTAAGGATAGCTCGATGATCAGTATATTCATAATTCTTTGTCAACCAGATATATCTAATGCTAGTATATTTATCTACTGTTGATATACTCCATATTGTATTCCTCTAACTGAACTATCTAATAGATGAGTACTCTCAAATACTAAATCCCTGATAGAAGTGAATCAAATTTGTTTGCTAAATGGTAGCCTTGAGGTTCAAGCGACCTATTTTGCTCTTCAGGTTTTGCTGTTCCAAATACACAGGGCTCTTTAAACTTGCCTAAATGGACATCAAACCGGAAAAACAGTACTAAATTTACTTATTTTTTAAGCTCATTCAATATCCTTTCTATTGTTGAAATATGAATCTATATTCTAACAGTCGTGAAAATAGTTACTATATTCCTTTGCTAAGTGCAATTAAAAAAAAAAAAATATATATATATATATATATCAAGTACAATAGACACACAATAAAGATGCTTTTTTTGGAATAGTGACATGGATAACCGAGACTAACTTATAATAATATAATTTCAACACGCTACTACATACTTGTAGAAAAGTACTTTAAATGGCATCATCTAGTCACATCTACAAGGTCGGAACTATGGCTGAGTGTTCATAATAATGCATACAAAATAGATATAAGGTACAGGCTACGGTAGGTAGATGTCCATGACCGGCAGAGTTGATTAGTCTACGATATAGGACTTCACTTGGACTGTCACTCCAGCACAATTAAGCTTGCTAATAGAAATAGTAACAATTCTGGCAGTAGTAAATGCCGCATCGCGCACCCTATGATCTTCCATCCCGTTGCAAGTGATAAATCATTAAGGATCTGCATAGCTAGAACTGATGAAATTATTTTTAAGTTGACTTTTGAGTTGACACCTTCTTGGTAAACCAAACTTTGATCTTTTTATAGCATCTTTTTTTTCGTTCTAAGTAGCGATACTTGTTTGCTCGTTAACAGAGGTAGCATATATTTGAAATAAGTTTCCTTAAAAATGTTTATATCTAAGAATATATAGAAAATATAAATAGACGACATTGAGAAGAATATTTTGAACGTTTGCTATTGTGATAAGTTTTTTTCTTAGTGTTTAATGTTTCCGTTCAAATATCTTTAGGTCTAACGGTCGTGGCCAAGGCGCAACAATATATTATTTGGCTAATGTGTTTCTGCCCGAACTATAACTCCGTTAGCCTGAATGCGTACGTAAGCAAAAGTACGTTAAATGTTTCATTACAAAGCTCTACTAGTCTATCAGAGACCTTACTCCAACTTTAAAACCATTTTGACACGCTATAATAATATCAAAGCAAATGATTACTGGAAGTACTGTTTCTATATGAATACGCTTAACACAACTATATTAATCATATTAAATAACTCTATGCATTTATTGTTTCCCATGACCTTTAACCATTTTTTTTTTTCGATCTCACTCCAGGTTTAATTTAGGCAGATTTCTTCGCGGAGGACTTTTTATTAGCGTCAAGGAAAACGTTGCTTCCAGATCCGTACGAGGTGTAGCCGGTTGAATGACCGAGGCCTCCATAGTTGAATCCTCCTAGACCGTAGATTCCGTACTCGATGGGGGCATACGGAGAGTAAGGTACAGCTGGGCCAGCAGCGACTCGAGTCGAGTAGGCGGTAGCCGGGGCAACTGCTACAGAAATAGACGGGGCAGCCGAGATCCTCGAGATGGCTGGGGCAGCCGAAATGGTCGAAATTGCAGGGGCGGCCGAGATCGTCGAAAAGGCTGGAACAGCCGAAATTGTCGAAATTGCGGGGGTAACCGGGATGGTTGAGATGGCTGGAGCAGCCGAAATTGTCGAAATTGCGGGAGCGGCCGAGATTGCCGAGATGGCTGGCGCAGCCGAGATGACGCTGCCCCCGACAGCGGGCCCATATGAGGTGGCGAACGTAGTAGCACCTCCCAGGCTACCGCCTCCGATAGCAGCGGCACCCGCATTCACGTCATCAGCGTAGTAGACGTGGTGAGACGAGCCACCAGCACTAATAAACTCGATGGAAGGAGCGGGCGACTGACCCTTGACAACCTGAATAATGCGGGCTCCTGGACGGCCGGGCTTATGCACATCGACGACCTGGGTCGGGGCCCGGCTTAGCACACGCTGAACCTCGGCTGGGCCAGATTTATGCTCGACGATGCGCACATGGTGCTGCTCACCAGGGACGGCAATTTGAGCGATTTCAGGAGCAGCCTGTTCACCTTCGTGGACACGGATAATCTGATCGCCAGACTGATAGTCCTCAATACGAATAGCTTGGCGACCAGATCCTGTATGAACCTCATGCAAACGGACGGCTGGAGCGCCAGCAGTACCGATCAGGCCGACATTAACAGGCTGAGCCGGAGCAGAAACTGCGACATTTGGGGCAGCAGCAGCCACAGGGGCAGCCACGGGCACTGTGCGAATTGCAGCGGGTGCAGCTGCTACTGAAATAGAGCGGGCAGTCGTAGGAGCCGCGTAGGTAACTGTACGAGCTGCGGCTGGTGCGGTTGCATAGGGCACAGCGGGAACGGCAGGTAGGGTAATTGCACGAGTGGTAATCGGTGTAGCTGCGTAGGACACAGCGGGAGCGGCGATTTCATAGGAAACCGCCGGCGCTGATGCAATCGTGCCGTAGGAGATGGCTGGAGTGGCGTACGGCGTTACGTAACGGATGCCATAAGGGTTGGCTGACGCATAAGAGATGCCGTAAAGTCCAGATCCGACAGATAAACCGCGCGCTCCGTACGATGGGGTGATCAGTTGGCTGTCGACGGCCACAACGGCAAGGGCCGCGATAACAATTTCGAAAGCTCCCATAATGAATCACGCAGTACGCGGAAAATGTTTGAGCTGATTGCGATTTCCGCCGAGTGTCGATACCGGTTAAATACTAGAAGATCAAACGTCTTTGGCTCTCCACAGATGAGAGGAGGAAACTTATCGACGCGACCGTTACCTAGTTTATACATTTGTCAGTATAGAACAACAATCGTAATTGTTAGAGTATCTAGCACAATAACCTTTCGTTTTTTTCCTTTCACCGGCCGTGTAGCCGATCATATTAATAGCGGATACAAACATGACAATAACAGGAAATATAGTAGACACTAAGCTCAGGTATTTCCTTTACACGGCCGAGATCTTTGTACATCGCTGCTAGTAACTAACTAATTGAACGCACCAATAGACAAGCGGTAATAGGCAAAACGTATCGCAACAATGCGAATAGATCTAACAGAAGTTATGATCGCACGTGAACGCAGAAGATAATGATATGCGGAAGATAGGCTTAAAAATAGTTCGAAAACATGAACGCTTCACGGGACACAGCAGTTGTACGATCGTAGCACGAAATAACTTACTTCTATTAAAATTGCAGTACAAGCACCATCGTGATGGGCATTTATAAAGACTGATAGCCACTAGATGCACAGTATGGTTTTGTAACTTTATGTACATTGATGCGACTCGGCGGCAACGGCAGAGAAAAATTGAAGAAAAAAGGTGACAGCGGTCCGGATTTTCTGCAATCTCGTTCGTTACGGCGGGACGAATTCAAGCCTCTAATAAAGTACGATATAATGCAGTCAGATTTGCATGTAAGCGCAGATCCATCATCAGCAGCTTATACTGTGGTGGTTCGAACGTCCGTATGCTACTCGTTTGATAACGGATACATCAGCGAACTGAGCGAGAGGTAAAAGCAAGAGGACCTCACTGTCAAGGACATTGGAGCAGCTTGGCCAGCGGAGAACTGGCTGCCGACAGACGAAGTTCTTTCTAGGAATAATTATTTTTCAAAATGGGTGTTCGCAATGAAGACCGTCTGGCACTATTTCGTAATCTCGATACAAGTAACGAGCAGCTGCGAAGAGACCAGACCGGCAATGGAGGCCACTGACGTCATGTTAACGAAAATCGAAATCGTCTTCGTTTATGAAAATATAGCTAAGACTTGTAGCAATCAAGTTATTCCTTCAACAAGAAACAGTGTTTTATGAATAATGTACTAGTCTTTGATACGCAAAGTTGCTTCAGGTTGGTGGAGGGCTGTTTGTACGGAAACTTCGCAGTTCATTGTATTTGGCTGCTAATGTTTTTTATCCTTCTCTCTTTTCTTGGGTCGGTACTTGTTTTTGTGTCATTTCAATTGGTAACTTACTCTGCAATAATGAAATTCGCGCATTTACTTTATATTCAGACAACTACATCTGTTTTTGCTTGACCTGGGTTAGAGCTGTGTTCGCCTGAAAATGCATAAAAAAAGAATCAACGTTCATGCTTTGAGAATCTCTTCGATTGCGTGTCGTCCCCTATGAATATCCCCTACTAGAACGTACGAACCTGGTCCTATTTAATTAAGCACGGCTTCTACCTGCTAGCCACAATTAGAAAAAAATATGTCTTTATCGAGCCACTCAACCTCAACAAATCCCCGTAATACCATAGTGTTAAATTTTGTCTACTGAAGTTAAGGACGCGAGAGGTGGCCTAGGCTTGAGACTGAGCCTACACGCACTCCCTTTCGTGCTAGGGGAAGCAGCTGTCTGAAATAAGGCTTAAGTGAGGCAACAGCGGCGGACGTAAAATGTGTGCCTCTGGTTACAAACCGACGAAATGTCATGATGCAGTGGTATGTTAGGGACGGAGATAGACGGCGAAGTCCGAAAGAGGAATACACCCATCCAGCAGCTTAAATGATACTTCAAAATAAATATATGTACCTTCCTGTATTGAGCTTCTAGTGGATCGTTAGTGAATGAATGCAGACAGAAAACAAAGGAATTCTTCGAGCTCCACTCGCAGTGAGGTCACCGACAGAGAATACTACACATATGCGCCCGCCCACCAGAGAGTCTATTGTGCTACTGAGAAAATCCACGCGAGGAACAATCAAAAGAAATATTGTCTTCTCCAACTGACTAGTAAGATTTGCCGTTCCTCATAGGATCAAAAATTGTTTCTATATTTGGTAATGCTATATTCGTTAACTTTGCCAAAACTTCTCAATAAATCCAACTTTATACCGAGCTGTCCTGGCATATATTAATGCCATTGCGACCTCCCAACAAGTTTTGTCGGATATCTGCCTTCCTGATAGGCGACCGTTTGAATAAACTACTTAGTGTGCGATACGTTTTCTTGTAGGCAGGCGTCCTTTAGTTTACATAGTCGTACCGTAAACACGCAACGGCGCTGCCCACTCAAAGTGGGATCCGCACGCAGCGCCAGTTATCGTCTGACTAATTCTGGGATCCGGGAAGAATCTCAGTTTTCAACACCAACTGTGCTGTATTTGGCTTTTCGCGTGAACAAAATTAGTAGTAGCGAAGCCAACTAGTCACGTTCGGAACGACGTCCGTGTCTTCCGAAGGGCCAGAAGAGCCTGAGGTGAATACAAAGAGCTAGACGAGTTATTGCACAAGCGACGGACTGAGTAACGAATTTGACAAGGGCAGCAAGGCGTCTGCGGCATCTATATAATGCGGCGACAGCGGTCGAATGAGGCTGATGTAGTACTTGCCTATTAATTTATCATTTTAGTCATTATAGGCTGTCTGCTATGGATAGAAGTACCGAGCCATCTTCAACATACGCTGGTGCACAAGGCGAACGAGCCGTAAATTAAATTGATCTTTCAGCGACTTGCGGTTTAACGAAGCTTCGAATCGATACCCGGACAATTGACATTGACATAATGGGACCATCCGGCAAATCTCGTGGCCCGTTCAAGATGGCTTCATGGGGGGTCTATTGAGTGCTGTTCGGTTTCACTGTCGTATACCATAGATGGCTCTCATTGATTCATGTAAACTTTGCAAACTGAAAGGCTTGAACTTATCGGTTGTCAAGCATTACAGGAATTTGCAGAGAAGGCAACGGGACAGTTTTAACAGTCGTTATCCGAATACAAGCGTGAATCCAAAGCACTAAGTTAATCGAATCGTAAAAAGAAAACTTACTACCCTAATTACGCTGGGAAGGCATTCTCTGTAGACCAAAATATCTACGTTTTGTAGCGCCAGTTCCACTCGATCAGACGCACTACAGGCGATGCTTATCTCCAGCTACGCGTTATACCACAGATAGACTTCCCCCACGTTTTTTTTTTATCTATAAACGCACGTGCTATAGTCATGTATAATTACCTATATCAGAGGGTAGAAACGTTGCAATGAATAGAATGCATTAGAACAAATGCACTAAAATAATAATAATATATTTCATTTAATAGTATTTTGTCCTCGTTAACGTGAGCTTGAATTAGGGCCCCTATATTGTACGAATACCTTACTAAACGTCACTCATTCACAGACAAAATACCACTACAATTATACTACTGGTGTTGGCCGCTGCCATTTTTCTTTAGGGCGTTCTTAATGGGCTATTTTGGGTAGGTAGATGGCGTCCCGGCTAAGCCGATCCTGTACCAAGGCAGGCAGACATATTCCCGGACATGAAACGGGCCATCCGTTGCGGAACACGTTGGCCCATTCCCATTGCTTCGACTTGAACTCACATGTATTTAATACTGCATTATATTCTTTGGCCATCGAAACTTGGGAGACGATCCAGCTCGTCAGTAAAGACAACGTTACCTTAGGAATCTATCACTGTACGGCTAGATCGACTGAATGTGCCTTTAATGAGAATGCAGCCAAGTTTTCTGTACATCGATTTGGTACCTTAAATACCTGGGCCGAACGGAGAATCGCGGAACAAGCTTTACATTGAAGTATGTTCTTTGACAGTTATTATATACTCTAGTGGTAGAATAAGGCTATGTCTAAAGATAATTTTGAAAACGTTTCTATTCTTAATAATAGTTTAGAGCTATATTTTCTGATATAGGGAGTTCGATCTGCAATGACATTGGTGTTCCCCAAATTTGTCCCAGACAGCCCTAAAAGTAACGTTATATGGAACGATGATTAATGGGCAGCGAAAAAATAGATAGGTGTGGCATTAGCTAGGGCAGATGCTGCTTTTGAAGGGTTTCTGGCTGCGCTGCTAGCTTGATTAAAAATCATAAGTTCTTTTCTGTATGTCATAATGAAGTTTTGTCATTATGACACTTCCGCACACAAACACGGTACGTTGTTTCAATGCTAATCTCTCGTGTCGTAGCGTCAATATGAACGGCCAGCATTGAAAGACGGCAGTCCTCATTTTATTCTCCATAGAGCTTTGTCCAAGACACTCACGCGAACGTTGATGCTACTATCTCGAATAATACGGAACACATTGTTAGCCAGGATAATTAAAAAAAAAAAAAGAAAATACTAATAGTAAGTTTTTTTTTGTTTCGCCTCTAGGTTCTTAGAAGGTAGGCTGTACAAGCCTACAATGGAATCTACAAACAATACAAATAGCATAGGTAATTTGAAATCCTAGATTAGTTAAGAACTGAGCATAGCATCCAATAGTTATTTTTAAATAGAAGTTTATCACTTTAGTTATTACTTTATAACGTCATATCAAAAAGAGCGTTCGATTATGTTAGCATCCCAGCTCCAAGGGCAATAACGCCTTACCGCGTCGTATAGACGCTGAAAGGCTTTAGCTTTGTCGAAAAACTAGAGAACTCTTCGTGTGAAGGAAACAGATCAGAAAACGCAAACGTTCATACTTGAAGCAGACTCAGATCCAAAAATTTGTTTTTGGGGTTTATTCAAGAATGGACATCCTGCCAACAATCCGTTGTTAATTTTCGTTGAAACACCCATAGCTGGAGTCATGTGTATGTTAGACATTTTGCCTAATCAAGATACGGTATTATTACGATGCTATTAAGAGGAAGAAAAATATGCTTTAATGGTTAATATGGACCGTGTCTGCGTCAGACTGTGTCATAACGTACAATTACCAGAATTCAATGGCGTTCTTAGCTACTGAACTGGATTATCCTTGCTAA